CTCTTCTTACTGTATTTACCCCCTCCCATACACACATATATTCTTCCCCAGAGTAATCGAACTGGACAAGTTCTTCCAGTTTCTTGTATCTCTGAAGAAGAAACAAAGTAAAGTACATCTGTGTTAGAATCCTGATATGTCAAACTTGAAGGTAGATTCTGAAATGTTAGCAGTGCTGAGTGATTGTAGGAATTGAACGCATGATTTTCAAAAGAAGGAAAGTGATTAGGAAGGAGAGAGAGGGAGGAAGGAAATAAGGAAAGGAAGAGAAGATTTCTACAAGAGATCTAATCAAGCTGCTAGTAACTTTAAGGAAAGATGAAAAAGTACCACTGTGTTGGATAAATTTGCAGATACTTTTTACAGGAAAATGTTTACAAAAGTTACAAGTTATATTTTCTTTAAAATCTGATATGTGTGAATGTAGATATGTACATCAGGTGCATACCCACCTAACCTGACCTGTTGTCTGTGGTGCTTAGTTGTATGGCACCTCGGAACCACCTGGAACTTTGTAAGCCTCTAATCAGAGCACTGGTACAACATGGGCAGCACAGAGAAGTGCTAAAAACATGAATAGTACAGATATGTGATGAGTGTGTTAGTTCTTTCCCCAATGGAAAGAAGCAGTCTCATTGGACAGCAGTTAGTGTAAAAGTTGTACCCTCCTTGATCTCAAGAAGCAGAAAGAAAAGGAGAAATACAGACTAAAACAGAAAAGCTGGCAAGGGAAGTAGCAACACAAGTATCAGTGGTGATAAGAACATTAAAAAGTTAGTCCTTCAACACTGCAGGCCAGCGTATTGCAGGGGCCCCAGCTATGTTCAGCAATGTTTTGTCTTCTCTTCTGTCACACCACAGGGACAAGCACAGTGCCTGCCATCAGGTAAATATGCAGTCAACTTCTTTTTTTTTGAGACAAGGTTTTGCTCTGTCACCCAGGCTGGAGTGCAGTGGTGTGATCTCGGCTCCCTGCAGTGTCAACCTTCTGGGCTCAAGCAATTCTCCACCTCAACCTCCTGAGTAGCTGGGAGGTACACCCCACCATGACTGGCTATTTTTTTGTTTTGCTTTTTTTCTAGTGGTAGGGTCTCACTGTGTTGCCCAGTCTGGTTTCAAACTCCTGGACTCAAGCAATCCTCCTGCTTTGGCCTCTCAAAGTGCTAGAATTACAGGCATGAACCAGTGCTCCAGGCTCAGTCAACATTTATTCAATGAATAAGTGAACTGAAATGACAGCCTATTAAAGGCAATAAACTGCCAAACAACAGGGAAATAAAATATAAATACCAATTTCAAAAGACTAGAGAAGGGGTGAATCAAGCGTTGAGAATCGGGTAGAAATGAGGTTGTATGAAAGCAGGGTGTGAAAAATGAAAAGAATTTAGGATAATTTTTATAGATGCACTTGGGGTGTTGAGTACTTGTCCTTTTAATTGGAGAACGTATGGTTATGTAGGAATGGCTTCAGCCAGAGACAAAGCAGACCCCTGTGCTTTTATGGACTCTCCCAAGGTAACATACTGAGACTCACTGTTTTTACCCTTTAATGTTATTTAGATTGTGTCTTGAAATCAGAGTGTACATTTGGCTATTATTCCCCTTTACCTCTAAAAGCAATTATTAAGTTGTTATTGATTCTTATAATAGAAAGTGTTATAGAATGACAGAAATATGTTTCACACATTGTCATATTAAAGCACATACATATATGGCATAGCCATTTTGGGGACATCCACTGGCCAACCCATAGTACAGTGGAGTAACTATATCTATAATCTCTACAAATGCTAGAGTACAACATGCGCAGCACAGAGCTAGGTGCACTATAGAATCCATGCAATGAAATTGTTTCCAAATTTTCTCTAAAAAGGAGAAAGGGAAAAATGCAAATACTTTTATGCTAATCTTATAAATCCTAAAGTTATAGACTGCTTAAAATGGTTCAAGAGTAGGAAAAGAAAAGATGGATCAACAAAACAGCTGACTCATAAAGGACAGCTAGTCAAATTACCCATAGAGGCTATCCAAATTCCAATATTAGAAATAGGTGGCATATCAGGCATAATTGGTGCAGTGGCCCAGGGACTCACGAATATCCAAATCTTGCCTCAAATTACCAATAACCCCATGGGAGACTTATCATAGCAAAGGAAAGCAAGACACTTTGAGTGTTAATGATAATGAGGGAACGCACCTCACACAGTGTCAGGAGGCCATGTGGGAAAAAGTAATGAGGTAGCCCTACCCCTCCCAGCCAAGGTAGTATCAGCACAGAGCTACTGGGGGCCTGAACTGTCACCCCACCCAGCAGTAATGAGGAGTTCCTCCCTCCAAATGGCAGCAGAAGCCAAGTCAAGAACCTGAACTTCCACCACTGTCCGGCAGTAATGAGGTGGCATTCCATTCCCCTGCTGGAGCATTGTCAGAAGAAGTCTGTTAAAGCACAAAATTTAAATAAAAACCAGAAGTTCATAATATAATATCCAAGGAGATTAAGGTTCCTATTTTTCTGGAGGTGGGAAGTTTAGAGCTGATACTGTGGCTCTACAATAGTATTAGAGACCTCATTGGAGCTTACAATCTACTGGAGAGAAAAAGATTATAGCAAATACATAAGTCTATATTATGTTGGGGGATGGTAATAATCACAATGAAGCAAAGGTAATCAGGTTGTGAGAATGGAGAGTTACAGAGTAAATCTGGTTAGGTGACATTTGAAGAAAGACCTAAAAAAAGTGAGAGATGTAGATATCTGGATATCTGGGGGAACAGCATTCCAGGTGGAGGAATCAGCAAAGCAAAGCCTCTGTGACAGGAACATGATTGATGTCTTCAAGGAAGAGGAAAGAGGCCAGTTAGAGAGGAGGAAGCAAGGGGAAAAGTTCTAGATGACCTCAGAAAGCCAAATAGTGCCAAGTCCTGAAGGGCTTTGCAGACTTTAGTCAAGCCTTCAGATTTCACTGTGTAGAATAGAAGTCACTGGAGGACTGGGAGCGAAGGAGTGACATTTTCTGACAATATTTTAAAAGCCTTGTTCTAGTTGCTATGGGAAGAATAGACCATAGGAGGGTTAAGGTGGAAAAGCTAGACAAGCTAAGCTGTGGGAGATGACAGTGGATCAGGTTAATAGACATAGACATGGTGACAAATGGGTTTGTTTTCATGAAAGAGCTGACAATGTTATAGATCCTGGATTGGATATGGAATGTGTGAGAAGATGATGAAGAAAGGATAGTCCAAAGATTTTTGGCCTAACATCTGGAAGGGACAGAACTGTCATTTATTAAATAAGGAAGATTGGCCGGGCGCGGTGGATCACACCTGTAATCCCAGCACTTTGGGAGGCCGAGGCGGGTAGATCATGAGGTCAAGAGATCGAGACCATCTTGGTCAACATGGTGAAACCCCGTCTCTACTAAAAATACAAAAAAAAAAAAATTAGCTGGGCATGGTGGCGCGTGCCTGTAATCCTGGCTACTCAGGAGGCTGAGGCAGGAGAATTGCCTGAACCCAGGAGGCGGAGGTTGCGGTGAGCCGAGATCGCGCCATTGCACTCCAGCCTGGGTAACAAGAGCGAAACTCCGTCTAACAAAAAATAATAATAAGGAAGATTGAAGAAAATGCAAGCTTGGTTTGAGATGCCTGTTACATGTCCAAGTGAAGATGTTTGTTATATGTCCAAGTGAAGCTGTCTGTATATACAGCTGCATATAGCTGTGGTCACCTTATGGTTTCAAGATAGCTGAACTATCTCCAGCATCACATCTGCCTTCCAAGAAGGAAGCGGAGAAAAGGCAGTGGGTAAAAACAACTAGAGTGTTCTTGTTTTGGGTTTGAGCATTCTTGTTTTGGGTTCCTAGAGAAGCCAGTTCTGAGATAAGGATTTGGATATACATTGTTTATTTGGGATATGAAGATACAGTGTAGTCTGGGTGTGGTGGCTCACACCTGTAATCCCAGTGCTTTGGAAGGCCAAGGCAAGCGGATCACTTGGCACCAGGAGTTTGAGACCAGACTCAGCATTATAATAAGACCCTGTCTCTACAAAAAAAAAAAAAAAAAAAATTCTGAGTGTGATGGCACACACCTGTAGTCCCAGCTACTCAGGAGGCTGAGGCAGAAGGATCACTTGAGCTTCTTCCTCATTTTCTCTTGCCTCCATCATGTAAGAAGTGCCTTTCACCTCCCACCATGATTCTGAGGCCTCCCCAGCCATGTGGAATTGTAAGTTCAATTAAACCTCTTTTTCTTCCCAGTCTGAGGTATGTCTTTATCAGCTTAATGAAGAGAAACTAATCTCTTCATGGTAGGTATGGGGAGATACTGTAAGTATTTAGACAGTGAGGTTACTATTAGTCATATATATAGTAATATCTTGGGTCTAGGAGGGTCTGCTGAGTTTCAAACAAAATGCTTAGTGTAACAGGATTATAGCAACTATTGTTAAAAGTGCAGAAGTTCTAGGCTGCAGCGACCTATGATTACTCCACTGTGAGCTAGCCTGGGTGACAGAATGAGACCTGTCTCTTAAAGATGGGGTTTATTAGTTTCCTATGGTTACTGTAACAAATCACCATAAATTTGGTGGCCTAAAGCAACCAAAATTTATTCACTCGCAGTTCAAGAGGCCAGAAGTCCAAAATCAGTATTGCTGGGCTAAAATCAAAGTGTTGGCAGGACTGCCCCCCTCTAGAGGATCTAGGAGAGAATCTTTTCCTTGTCTCTTCAAACTTACGGTGACTGCCTGCATTCCTTGACATGTGGACTCCAACCTTCAAGGCCAGCATCTTCAGATCTTTCTTTACTTCGTCCTCATCTCCTCTTTTTCTCTGTATGTCAAATCGCCCACTGCTTCTCTCTCAGGGCCCATGTAAATAATTAAGATAATTTCTCCATCTCAAGATTCTTAACTTATGTGAAGAACTTTTTTTCCAAATTAAGTAACATTTGCAGTTTACAGGATTAGGGCCTGATTATCTTTGGGGACAATTTTTCAGCCTACTTCATATGGAAATTGGAAGTGAAACAGGAAAGGCAGATTACCAGCTACCACTGTGGGTGACTGAGTCAAATCCTGATGGGGAATCTCTGGAACCCACCACAAGTCACACCCTCCAAGAGTTCTCCCAGCCAAGGAAAACGTGAGTATTTTACACCAATAACTGACAGTCATTGTCAAAGCTGCTCCAGGGAGGGCTTTAATTCTCCGTCACTTCTGACCTGTCACAGAGGCAGCAAAGAGGACTCTAGCAGCAAGAGAATGCACTGAGGAAAAGGAATGAAAGTTTTGTACACAAAAAAACAGGCATGAGTCCTTAAGTTGTCGCCATCAGGGATGTGTAGGGTACCCACAGTATCTGTCGTAGCCCTCTTTTAAATAGACTTTTGGCACCTTCCACTTATATTTCATTGGACAGATTTTGTTACATGCCCATGCCTCGCTTCAAGGCAGACTAGGAAATGTGGTCGATTCTTTAGCTGGTTGCATTTCCTCTCTGAAGAATATCCAAGTTCTGTTAGTATGGAACAAAGGAAGGATAGATACTGGGTAGGCAAGTAGGAACGAATCAATAAGGATGACTCGGACCAAGGTTTATCACTGTTTATGGTAAGAAGTAGTCTGAATTTAGAATGTATATTGGAAGTAGTGCCAGTAGGACTTACTGTTGCCGTGGGGTTTGAGGGGAGCACAAATTTAGGATCATGAGGGCTTTTATCTTGAGCAACTGGTAGCACTGGTGGCAGTTAAAGAGATGGAATGGTCTGGAGTGGGGTCAGAGTTGTGATATAGGGATTCTAGTACTCTCTTTTGAACATGGGAAGTTTAAGATGCTTCTAGCCATCCTCTGGAAATGTCAGTGTTGAATAGGTGGTTGGATATAGACGTCTTCTGCTCAGATGCTTAAGCTGCACATACACATTTAGAAGTTATTAGAGCCAGCCTACATAAGAATGAGGTTCATTGAAATTTCTGACATTCTGGAAGCAGTATATTTATTAAAATGTTGTATAGTAATAGAAAACAGATTTTATCAATGTGCGCCTAATTCTTCCCTGTGGGATCCAGTGAAACAGCCAGCTCCAGTTTAATAGAAAAAGGGTAAAATAACTATTCTAGAACATACTAACCTACAATCACTCTTCAAATAGACCTTCCAGCAAGAAGGAATTTTAATTGAACCTAGAGACTGGCTTACAGAACCCGGTAATACATGTGTAGATAAACATTTGTTTACTATTAATTGCATCATACATTTAAGTGTGTCAATATACCATAAGAATTAAGATACACAAGTTTATGAGGAAAGTGGAACTATTTGCATATTTAGATAAATGTAAAGATCACCTTGAAGAAAGAGGTTAGTTCCTGCTAATATTTTGCTGTTGTTGTCTTCTCTCCTCCTTCAGTCTGTAGACCAAGAGGTTACTCAGAATGTGAGAAGTTATGACAGAAAAAGTTTATCCATAATAGAAATATAGTAATAGATCTTCTGCTCTTTTTAGAACATAAAAAATGAGACTTTAAATTTATATGAGCCTATAATTCTGATAAAACAATTGGTAGGGACTTGGAGGCTATGGCACTGTGCTTTATTTCTTTATTTCTATAAATGTCTTCTTTTTATGACTATGATGAAGCCTTTAGAACAAGCCCTTTATACGTGCATTTAAGCACTGTTTTTTAGAATAATGAGGTTTATGCCTTATCCACATCTCAACATTAAACCTATTGCAAATGAGGGAAAAGAATGGACTGAATGTGAGCCACCATCTCAATTATGTAATAAAAATAGGCATTTTAATGCTGCTAAATTAGTAAACATTAATGATGATTTTTGGATGACAAGGGAAGTGCTTGAGGAAAAGCTGTTTTTATCTATGATTCAATAATTAATTTTGAACAAGAATTTTCATGAAACTATGACCCAAAAGCCATAAAATAATAAATCTTTCATTTGGTGTTTAGGACAGACAGTTGACTAAAGAGCAGACTGACACCACAGACGTGCCTGAAAGTGGGCTCTGGGACTTCTCCTGGGGGATCTCCCCATTTGGCCTTGTCTATGTCTTAGGTGTGATATAGTATTCAGTGTGCAGAATAGGGTCTGTGAGCCACCATGAAAAGTTAAATTATATTTATTATAGCCTTTAACTAAGGCAAGTAAGTATGTAATATATTTTTGAATGAGTTTCAGTAAAAGATTTTGAAAAAGACCTAACTATCACTCATCAGCCTTTGGAAACTCATTTTCTTAGATTATTCCATGTTTCATGACATAGTCTCCTCTCTGTTCTCTCTATACTTCTCTTTCTCCCTAATTCCACCCTCATTTCCTTCTTTCTTTCCATGATGACTTCCATATTTGCTTTTAAATACCCTCTTCCAGGCTCCAGACTCATTTCTATTTAGCTATCTCACATACTGAATTCACTCCTTTGTTTAAATGTAGCATTTAATGACTTATTTTTCTTAGTGAAATTTTTCTCATGTTGTGTTTATTTTTTAAATTATCCAAATATTTTATGATGGCTTAAATATTTTAGAAAATATGCACATTTATTTGGAAGTTGATAAAACACCTCTGAAAGTCAAGATGGCATGTCTTGCCAATGTGAAAATGGATATAAAAATATCCCTAAATGCTATAGTTTTCTTCTTTTTTTTTATTTATTTTTTTAAGTTCAAAGATATATGTTGAAATTTGTTGGGTAGGTAAACTTGTGTCATGGGGGTTTGTTGTACAGATTATTTTATCACCTACATACTAAGCATGGGACCCATTAGTTATTTTTCCTGATTTTTCTTCTCCCATCCTCCATCTTCTGATAGGCTTGAATGTCTGTTGTTCCCCTCTGTTTATCCATGTCTTCTCATCATTCAGCTCCCACTTACAAGTGAGAACATGCAATATTTGGTTTTCTGTTCCTATGTTGGTTTGCTAAGGATAATGGCCTCCCACTCCATCCATGTAGCTGCAAAAGACATGATCTTGTTCTTTTTATGGCTGCATACTATCTCATGCTATATATGAACCACATTTTCTTTTTTCCATCTACCACTGATGGGCATTTAGGTTGATTCCATGTCTTTGCTATTATAAACAGTGCTACAATGAACATAACGTTTGCATGTGTCTTTAAGACAGAACAGTTTGTATTCCTTTGGTATATAACCAGCAATGGGATTTGTGGGTTGAATGGAATTTCTGTTCTTAGGTCTCTGAAGAATCACCACACTGTCTTGCACAATGATTGAACTCATTTATGCTCCCATAAACAGTGTATAAAATGTTTCTTTTTCTCTGAAACCTCACCAGCTTCTGTTATTTTTTTACTTTTTAATACCCAATCCGATTGGCATGAGATGGCATCTCCTTATGGTTTTAATTTACATTTCTCTAACAATAAGTAATGTTGAGCCTTTTTTCATATGTTTGTTAGCTACATGTATATCTTCTTTTGAGAAGCATCTGTTCATATCCTTTGTCCACTTTTTGATGAGGTTGCTTTTTTCTTGTAAATTTGGCAGCTTCACTTGGAAATATAACAAACGTCTTCACTTGGACATATAACAGGCATCTCAAACGAAGCTTGCATTTTCATTTTCTCCAGTCTTTAAGAAATAAGATTTTTAGACAAGAATAAACCCACCTTGAAACAATGTGATACTGTTTCACTCTTTCCACTCCCAAATTTAACTAATGTGATCTCCATCTGGTTAAATAAAAGTATATGGCACCTAAACCAAAGGATCTGCAAGACTCCCTCTGAGCTGATTAGACCATATCTGTGGTATTATGTTTAAGTTCCAAATGGTACATTTCAAGGATGAAACTGACCAAAAAAAAAAAAAAAAACTTGATCAAAGAAGAGTTAGAATTATGAAGGGTCTGAAAATCTTACCATAGTCATTCATTTTTTTTTTTTCATTCAGCAAGTGTGTATTAAGCCTCTTATATTTTTCAGGCTGTATACTGGATGCTGAGCATAGAGTGGTGAAGAAGAAATCTCTAGGAGAAAGAAGGAAATAAAAATATTTGTGGAAATAAATAAAGACCACCCAAATGAAAACAACTAAAGTTATTTATTTATTCGGAGCTTGCTATACCAAGGGATTCACCCACTATCACTTGCATTTGGCAAAGACTCAAAGGGAGGCAGAGGCGTGGAAAAGCTTTAGGATAAAAAAAAGAAAGAATGCTTCAGATGTGCCCTCATTGGAGGGTGTTGGCATGTAGAGGCTGGAGGCAGAATAACTAAAAGTGGGGTACCTTAGGGGATTGTTTTGAGGAGTATATTTGGCTTTCTCTAGTTTGTACCGAGTTGGAAGTGGCGACAGAAAATAGGGAAGCTGGCAGTCAGTGATCAAGCCCTGACCATTATGGGACAATTGCAGATTTTGTGGCTTAGATTTCTGGACTGGTGATGTTGTTTCAGAAATTATGGGTCAAAGTCTACTGTCATGTAGTCTGATTGTTTCCCATTTGTATATTCAGACTCTAATATTAAACACTAACAAAAGAAGACTGGAAGTACACTCAAAACTGTATTTGACACATTAATAACTATATTCAAGCACTTTAATGACTACTGTGTTGAAACAGCATTTGTCCTGAATGGTGTCAGTGGAATCATTGAGATCAAATTAGGACCAATGGATGGAAAAGTTCTTCAATACAAAGAAAGATCTTTCTAAAACACATTACAGTCTGAGTTACTGTCTAGATACAATCTCAGATAGTGGTTACCTGTTAAAGGGAGAATTTAGACCTAGGCTGGATAACTTCTTTTTAGTGATATTGAAAAACAGGGCACAAACTTTGGCATGCATCAGAATCACTTGATACTTTTGTTACCGATGCAGAACCCTAGGCTCTGTCCTAGACCTGCTGAATCTGATCAGTAGTGTATGATAGATGATTCTTTTAAGAAATATTTGTAGAGGGGCCAGGTGCAGTGGCTCATGCCTATAACTCTAGCACTTTGGGAGGTTGAGGCGGGTGGATCACCTGAGGTCACGAGTTTGAGACCAGCCTGGCCAACATGTGATGAAACTCTGTCTCTACTAAAAATACAAAAAAAATTTAGCCAGATATGGTGTCATGTTCCCATAGTCCCAGCTACTGAGGAGGCTGAAGCAGGAAAATCATTTAAACCTGGGAGGTGGAGGTTGCAGTGAGCCAATATCATGCTACTGCACTCCAGTCTGGCAACAGAGTGAGACTCCATCTCAAAAAATATATATATGTATATTTTTATTGTATATTCATATATAATATATTAAATTTTACATAAATTTTAAATATATGTATATATAATTTATATATACATATAAATTATATAGTTATTAATTATATATAAATATATTAATTCTATAAATTATATAAAATATACTAATTATTTGATTATTAATTATTTAAAAACTATAGTTAAATATGTATTTAATTCATATATTTAAATATATAAATTGTATATAAATATATACATTAAGAGAGTCTAACATTCTGACTTTTGCATAGTATAGCCATTACAGAAAATAAACCATTCATTCATTGAGCAATATTGATTGAGTAGATTACATTATGTCTACACTCTACTTTAGGCCTGTATTTTGACTTTCTTAGCATGGTACATTCTTACATGTCAAAGTTAGCAATTAAAGGAACTCATTCATTCTTCAGAGATTTTTTGAACATCTGCTCTGGTGAGATGGTGATGAACCAGACTAATATAGTTCTTTTTCCCTAGAGCTTACATTGACATAGTCCTTTTTTCTACAGAGTGGAAAGAATACAGAAAATATACTTAAAATACAGGGTGATATATGTTGTCATGAAGAAGAAAAATGGTGAGAAAACACCAGCCCATAGTTCTATTCTTTCCCCCTGCATTATAATTCCAAGTAAAATTCAATCTTAAAATTAAATCAAGTTATTTATAGAAGAATTAGTATATATCCTTTTGTCAGATTTGTTTTAGGTTTTAAGTAAAAATTGAAAGCCTTTGAGCCTAACATTCCTCCAAAAATGCTAGAAGATTTCAGAATGGCACTTTGTACTTAAAACCTCTCTGATGTCAAAACTGGTGAATATTGAATTGAATAAACCAAAGGAACATCTGTTTGGGTTGACTCTGGATATCTTAGAAAATGAGTCTGGAAATTCTAAATTCTTTGGATTTTAATACCTGTTTCTAACTTTATTGCAATGGAGTGAATTTGTACTGTATTTTTCAAGCATATTCTTATTCAAAACACCATGTATTTTGCTGTGTGGTATACAGGAAGACACATTAAATGGGAAGCAGCTGCCTTGTATCTAGTTCTGGCTCTTCCACTAATTAGCTGTGTGACCTTGGGCCTCTCTGAGCTTGAGTTTTATCAAAATGCTAAATTATTCTTAATTAGCTCTAAAATTCTGATTTGGTAAAACTAAATGGAGAAAATGCTGTCATGCTGCACCTGCCTCTTTCTCATACCCTCCTCCCAGCTACACAAATACATTAGAAGCCTCATTACCACCATTGAAATGAATGCTGAAATAACTTGCTTTTCTAATGTGGACATCTGTATGTTCCTTAGGCTGAAGTCTTAGGCCTCAGTATCTACCTGCTTATCCAGTCTGAGTGACTGGACTTATGCCAGCTCCCTGGAGAATGCTTCAGCTTCTTTGAAAAAGAACTCCATAGTGAGAGCTGCTACCAATCTGTCTTCTTAACAGCAATTGCTATAATCCTAGCTGTTATACTAAGCATTTTGTTTGAAACACAGTAGACCCTGCTAGACCCAATATATTACTATATATATGACTAATAGTAACCTCACTGTCTAAATACTTCAGTATCTCCCCATACCTGCCTATATTAGTTTGTTTTCATGATGCTGATAAAGATGTACCTGAGACTGGGAAGAAAGAGGTTTAGTTGAACTTACAGTTCCATGTGGCTGGGAAGGCCTCAGAATCACAGTGGGAGGTGAAACGTACTTCTTACAGGGCAGAGACAAGAGAAAATAAGGAAAAAGCAAAAGCAGAAACCCCTGATAAACCCATCAGATCTCATGAGACTTGTTCACTATCATGAGACTAGCATGGGAAAGACTAGCCCCCCATAATTCAATTACCACTGTGCAAGTTGGTGGTGGATCTAACCATTCTGGGGTCTGGAGAACAATGGCCCTCTTCTCACAGCTCCAGTAGGCAGTGTCTGTGTGGGGACTACCACCCCAAATTTCTCTTCAGCACTTCAGTAGCAGAGGTTCTCCATGAGGGCCCCACCCCTGCAGCAAGCTTCTGCCTGGGCATCCATTTCCCTATATCTTCTGAAATCTACGCAGAAGTTCCCAAACTTCAATTCTTGACTTCTGTGCACCTGCAGGCTTAAAAGCACATGAAAGCTGCCAAGGCTTGGGGCTTCCACCCTCTGAAGTCACAGCCCAAACTCTACATTGGCTCCTTACAGCCATGGCTAGAGCAGCTGGGAGACAGGGCACCACGTCTCTAGGCTGCACACAGAACAGGGACCCTGGGCCCGGCCCATGAAACCACTTTTTCCTACTGGGCCTCTGGGCCTGTGATGGGAGGGGCTGCTGGGAAGGTCTCTAACAAGTCCTGGGGACATTTTCCCCATGGTCATGGGGATTAACATTAGGCTCCTTGCTACTTATGCAAATTTCTGGAGCCAGCTTGAATTTCCCCTCAAAAAATGGAGTTTTCTTTTCTACTGCATCATCAGGCTGCAAATTTTCTGAACTTTTATGCTGTTTCCCTTTTATAACTGAATGTCTTTAACAGCACCCAAGTCACCTCTTGAATGCTTTGCCAGATACCCTAAATTTCTTCTGCTAGATACCCTAATCTCTCTCAAGTTCAAAGTTCCACAAATCTCTAGGGCGGGTGGGGGGCAAAATGCCACCAGCTTCTTTTATAAAACCTAACAAGAGTCACCTTTGCTACAGTTCCCAACAAGTTCCTCATCTCCTTCTGAGACTACCTCAGCCTGGACCTTATTGTTCATATCATTATCAGCATTTTTGTCAAAGCCATTCAGGGAATCTCTAGGAGGTTCCAAACTTTCCCACATTTTTCTATCTTCTTCTGAGCCCTCTAAACTCTTGTTACCTAGTTCCAAAGTTGCTTCCACATTTTCAGGTATCTTTTCAGCAACACCTCACTCTACTGGTGCCAATTTACTTTATTAGTCTCTTTTCATGCTGCTGATAAAGACATACCTGAGACTAGAAAGAAAAAGTTTAATTGGACTTACAGTTCCACATGGCTGGGGAGGCCTCAGAATCATGATGGGAGCCAAAAGGCACTTCTTACTTGATGGAGGCAAGAGAAAATAAGGAAGAAGCAAAAGTGGAAACCCCTGATACACTCATCAGATCTTGTGAGACTTATTCACTATCATGAAAATAGCACAGGAAAGACCAGCTCCCATGATTCAGTTACCTCTCCATGGGTTCCTCCCATAACATGGGAATTCTGGGAGATACAATTTAACTTGAGATTTTGGTGGGGACACAGCCAAACCATATCACTGTCTGATTAAATTCCTTAGAAACAGACACCGGCCATATCATGCCAAATTCCTCTCCTTGAGGAGCGGCACTATAGCCCAGTTGGTACCCTTGAATCTGGTCCTACCTAGTTCAGGCTTGCTCTTCTATCCTTAACAGATGTGACTGATATCCTAGTTTGCTTCTGTTAAAACTTTTGAAGTTATGATATATATATATATAACTTTTGAAATTAGATATATCTATATGAAAGAACATTGATCCTGAAGCTAAGTCTAATAATTTTTCATGATTAGTATATTCTTTAGAATTAGCCTACTCTAAAAACTGTTATTTTTAAAAGAGTATGTATACACTGTTATCTCTGAAATTGGCTTTGAGTATTAATTTTTAAAATTAACCTTCAGTTTTTGAACTTATTCCCATTTAAATAATTGAACAATTTCAGGAAATAATGATCAAGCCATGCAGAGCAATGTAATAATTTTTTTTTGCCCTCACCTTTCACCAATTTAAAATGTATTTTACTTTCCTACAATTGCCAGAACTTCTCCTTGTGAGGCTGAGCTTCAGGAATTAATGGAACAAATTGACATCATGGTAAGCAACAAAAAATTGGATTGGGAAAGAAAGATGCGGGCTTTGGAGACACGATTAGATCTTCGGGATCAAGAATTGGCAAATGCACAAACTTGTTTGGATCAGAAGGGTCAAGAGGTACTGAATACATATGTTAACAAATTGATAATTCATCAGACTATTGTGTATAGTATTCTATCAGAATATGTTTTTATTATACGTGCATTTTATCAGGCATCAGCAACATTTATTGCTTGAAATTCTGTCAGCAAATTATGTGTTAAATGTATTATATCAAATAAGTGACAGTCAGAGCCTAAATCCATAGATATTTGCTGATGAAGACAGATATATAGTGTCAATGCCATCTATAAAAGTAAACAAACACTTAATATATGTATAAAATATTGTTTGCAAGGAAAGATTTAAGTACTTTTGCTGCTGTAGAAATAAAGAAGTAATCATCAAAACTGGACAAAGCAGAGTTCAGAAACATTTGCTTCTTCTAATATGCTAGAAAAACATAGAAGTAAGACATCAAGAATTGATTATAGGACAAAGAGGAAAGAGTTTGGTAAAGGGGTGTGTGTGTATACCTGGGACATCCACTTAAGAGGAGTTCCCTCAGTCCCTCTAGGCTGCTCACTGCCAAGCTGGTGGTCACAGAAGAATGTATGAGTTCTCCCAGGCCTGCGAAGGAGTTCAGGAAAACCATATGCTTTATCTAATGTGGACTTTGTGTCTGTGAATTTTTCTTTTGGAAAAAGAAATGTTTAAGAGAAATGTTTGCTAATAATGTACTGTAATAAAATACCATTAGTTAACTTGTTCATCAGCCATTTTTCTACCTTTATTGACTTCTCAGTGGAACTTAGTTTCTTTGGCATAGTTAACTATATTATTATTTGGCATGGGTAACTTAGTTATTGGCATGTAGTTTTCCTACAATAGAGGTAGGTCATCAGACATGGCATATGCAATAGACTATTATTCTAGCTTTTATATATAATACGTAAACAAGTGCCTTATCTGCCTTTTAAGCAGACTAATTATATAGGCCAAATCCATAGGAACTGCTCTTAGACAATTTTTCTTTTTAATGCATTAGTTATTATAAAAATATAACAATTATTTCATAATACCACTAAAACAGAGATCCTCTTGGAGGTAACGGAGGAAAAAAACTGAATTATATTGGTAGAGATTTTGCCTGGCTGACGATTACATAGCCTTCCAAAAGGATAATGCAAAGTAAATTCTAACCTTGAATTTTAAATGTGATGATGATAAGGATCTTTTTGTTAAACATCCATACTGTCCTAATATGTACCTTGTGGAATAGTGCTAGAATGTTTGGTTTTTGTGAATTTAATTATTGATAGCTATTTTAAGAAGTGCAGTACAAATATTTACTCTTGGTTTGGTACAGCTGTTTTATTTGAATTGTGCTTCTCTTTTGCACATTTTCTGATTTTGTCAGGCAGAATTTAGAAAAAGCAAAATTAAATTTTATTCTTCATGCAGGTAGTGTTACTTCGACAGAAATTGGACAGTCTGGAAAAATGTAATTTAGCAATGACTCAGAATTATGAAGGACAACTACAAAGCCTAAAAGCTCAAGTAAGGAAACTTACTATAATTTAATATCACACATTTTGATATGCTTTTGACCTATAGAATTGTGTTAATTTTATTTAAACTAATTGTTTTTAGTATAAGCAAAAATTCTTGTATGTTAATTATAACCTTAGTCACGTCTTTCACTATTTTATATGCATTGATTTTGTTTCTTTTACTAGATTGTTGGATTGCTATACCTTCTGTACCTGTTAGCACAGTACTCAACAAATGGCTTTCTATTTCTCAAGAGACTTGTTGATGAATTAAATGATAATTAGCTATGTGAGCAACAACAAAAACCAAAATTATCTTTTGTGGTTATTACTATCTAATAGAGATGCTCTGAATTCTATGACAGTTTACAATAGGGGAGTTTGCTATTATGAAATAGATGAAATAGATAATTGAAAGAATAAAACTGGTCTTTATTAGCTTGTTACTGGTAGGACTGTTTCTTACATGATAGTGCTTCTGCATGTGTAATGAGAAGGATACAGATTTCTTTTTCACTTATCCCTGTATCCTCACACTGAGCTGGCAAGCAAAATGCCTTCTTTACCACAGACAGCACGTAGAGTAGCAATCATTTGAGTATGTCAAATGTAGTAGATGCTATATCTTTGCTTACCTTAATAAATGAATCAATGGGAAATATGGTTTGATTATGAAATTTTACTTTACGAACAAATTTTTTTGGAGGACAAATATTTCATGTATGATAATTTAGTTAAAGGAGGCTAAAGTAGTTAATGATCCTTCTTAAGTACCTTTTAGGAATTCAGCCATTAAGATGGGAATGTGAAGCATTTGATGCCACTTAACAGATGATTTTACAAGACTAGTTCTTAGTCTACCTAGACATTTTACGTACAGTTCAAGTAACTGCCACTATATGGTAGCTTAGGTTATGAAATTACATATGGTTTTTACTAGCTTAGACTCTGAGCATTTAGCATGTAAGTCAACTCAACCTTTATTTTTCTATAAAGGTAAGGCTCTAAAGCAACAACGTAAATATTAAATCATTACATACTGGTCAATATTTATCAAGAGATCACAATCTGTAGTTAGTTTGAAAAAAATACAGAAATCTAGAAATAAGTTAGGTGCCATCTCTAAGTTATATTTAACCAGTTCAGTCACTACTGCTTTCTAAATCTTTCGTTTCTGTTTGGGTATTTCTTATCTCCTGTTAAAAAGTTCTTGGTCTTGTTTACAGGGGCCAAGCAGTCATTTAATATATGAATCCTTGCTGTTTGATACTTTGCAGTTCTGTTTTATTATTTGACTGCTGACTGGTTTTCAGTGCTAACCAGAAAATATATTTGTAGTAATTTCACAAAAATTTGTTCTGTGGAAAACACTGAGTTTAGAAAATGGTGCTTAAGGCTGGGTGCGGTGGCTGAAACCTGTAATCCCAGCACTTTGGGAGGCCAGGGTGGGCAGATCACGAGGTCAGGAGATCAAGACCATCCTAGCCAACATGGTGAAACCCCTGTCACTACTAAAAATACAAAAAAGTAGCTGGGTGTGGTGGTGCATGCCTGTAATCCCAGCTACTTGGGAGGCTGAGGCAGGAGAACTGCTTGAACCCACGAGGCAGAGGTTGCAGTGAGCTGATATTGTACCACTGCACTCCAGCCTGGTGACAGAGCGAGACGTCATCTCAAAAAAAAAAAAAAAAAAAGAAAGAAAGGAAAGAAAATGCTGTTTAAGCTAATGCTGGCCAAGTTAAGACTCTTCCTCCCCTCCTGGAGATTAAGGTTACACATTAGCACATTACAGGCCATGACTTGCCTTAAACAAACTCATTTAACCTTTCCAATCCATCATGTTCCAAAGATATTGGACAATGGAACTCTTCTTATTAACTAATTATTTTTATTTTTTTGATTGAGATGAAGCCTTGCTCTGTTGACCAAGGCTGGAGTGCGGTGGCACAATCTTGGCTCATTTCGACCTCTGCAGCCCAGGTTTAGTCAAGTCTTGTGCCTCAACCTTCAGAGTAGCTGGGATTACAGGTGCACATGACCACACCCGGCTAATTTTTGTATTTTTAGTAAAGACAAGGTTTCACCATGTTGGCCAGTCTGGTCTCAAACTCCTGACCTAGACAATGTGCCTCTGTAAACAGGGGTTTCATGGAATACACTGGGAATGCTACATTATTGTTGAGAGCCACCTATTTTCACTGCAGTTTTCTGCTTCTCTTTTTCTCTATTTAAGAGAAAGGGAGGAAGAAAGGGAAGAAGAGCAAAAGAGAAGGAAGGAGGAAAGTAGGGAAAAATAGAGAAAAAGAAGTACTATGTACTTGATTTGGTTTGCATAAAGCTAGTAATATGCTGTTTTTCTAAGTAGAAAATGGTATTTGTGGCAAACACGCTTTTGTTGCTGCCAGCTCACTCTACAGCTTCCTCCATTGAAATTTCTGGTTTATTTACAATTTCATTTTCCTGAAACATCTTAAGGATACACTTTGCCCCACTCTGCCTTGAATAACTCAACTCTGTCAAAGCTTCTTTTTAGAAACTGCTTTCCTTTTAAAAATGAGTTATTTTTTTCCCTTCTAACCATTCTAAAACTATAATTTTAAATACATGTATTTGAGGCTTATGCTTCTGGAATAGATATACTCTTCCTTATCCTCCCACTAAATTGGACATCATTTATAAAACAACGTAAGACTCTGACAAGTGGAGAGAAGAGACAGGTTGGCTAAGGACCTTGGGCCTCAAATAATAAGATATTAGTGAGTTCCCTGGGATTTGTTTTGGCCTTATATATCCCAGACTGAGTACCAGAGAAGCAGGCAACCCAGTCATGCCAATAGGTGCAAACAAACAAAAAGAGCACCAAGGAAGGCCTGCTCTCTCCAGCCAGAAGACCGGAAGAGAGAGAGCCAAGCAAGATAATACTTTTAGATAATAACCTCTCTACTCAAGCCTAGTACATCAGAAAAAAACAAACAAAAACAACAACAAGAACAAAAACTACAGCCCCACTGCCACCTACAAAGGCTTAGTGGAAAAACCTAGATTTCTGCCTTCACTAAGCTATAATAAGGTAATCCTGGCCCTCTTTCCTGGTTAGTGTCTGAGAAGACTGGGTGGAGGGCCAGGACTTTTGTCATCACTAGACATTAGCAAGGCCCTCATCAACCCATGGTGACAGTGGAGAGCTTGGTCTTCTATACCTACCTGGTGGTAAGGAGGCACCCGTCCCTCTCCACTCTGGGGAGGTATCATAGGAAGGCTGGGGAGGAGTCACCACTGCTTAGTGATGACCAGTTCACCCACCCCCACTACAGTATCACTGAAGGCCATGTCAGAAGAGTGTCAAGGCACTCATGCCCCTTCAATTAAAGTGTATCAGTGAAAGACTAGTGAGGAGCCTGAACTCCCACTTCCAATCAGCAGTAATGAGGAGCACCTCCTGTTGGATACCAACTGAAGCCAAGTGAAGACCTGGACATCCACTTCCCCCTGGCAGTGATGAAGTGGCACTGCATTTTCCCTTCCAGAAATTGTCAGAGGAGAACTGCTAAAATACAATATTTGAATAAAATTCAGAGTCTCAAGACACAATATACAAAAATGTCCAAGTATTAATAAAAATCACTCATTATAGAAAGAACCAGGAAGATCTCAACTTGAAAAAAACACACTCAACAGATGCTGAAGCCAAGATGACATACATTAGAATTACCTGATTTTAAATTAGCTGTTATAAAAATACTTCAATGAACTATTACAAACATGGCTTTAAATAAATGAAAAATTAGAAAGCTGTAGCAAATAAATAAAAACATAAAGAACAAATTAGAAATTTTAAAACTGAAAAGTATAATAACCAAATTTTAAAACTTAATGGATGGGCTTGAAAGCAGAAAGTAGAGGACAAAGGGAATAGAATCAGCCTGAAGATAGTACAATAGAAATTACCCATTCTGAACAACAGAGAGAAAGACGAATAGAAAATGAACCTTGGGGATATGTCATATGATAACAAACAATTTAAAAATTATATCATCAGATAACCCAGAAGGAGAGGAGAAAGATGGGAAGGAAAAACAAGCATTCAAAGAAAGAATGGCTGAAAAGTTTCAAAACTTAGCAAAAAAATGTAAACCTACAGATTGAAAAGCTGACTGAACTTCAAACAGGATAAATCAAAAGACGGCTATGTTAAGATACATCATAGTCAAAGTTCTGAAAACCAAAAGACAAAGAAAAAAATTTTGGAAGCAGCAAGAGAGAAACGACATCTTACCTACAGGGGAAAACCAGTTCTGACAATGGTGGCTTTTTCTTTAGAAACCATGGAGGCTTTCAAGTGCTGAAAGAACAGAGCTTTCAACCCAGAATTCTATGTCTGGCAAAAATACCCTTCAGGAATGAAGGAGAAATTAAAACATCCTCAAATGAAGGAAACTAAAAGCATTTGTTGCTGGCAGACCTACCCTAAAAGAATAGCTAAAGGAAGTTCTCTTAACAGAAAAGAAATGATAAAGAAGGAATCTTAAGACATCAGTGAAGAAGTAAAAACACCAAAAAGAGTAAAAACGTGGGGGGTAAATGCAATAGACTTTCCTTATCCTCTTGCATTTTCTAAATTTTTTGATAGCAAAAAATTATAACCAGGTCTAATATGGTTTTCAGTATATGTACAGGAAACAGTAAGATAATTGTATTATAAATGGAACAGAGTAAAAGAACATAAAGGAAAGTAAGATTTCTACACTTTAACTGACAAGATGTCAAACACCAATAGACTGTGATAAATTATGTAAATATGGTGTAATACCTAGAGCGACCACTTAAAAAGCTCTACAAAGAGATCTACTGAAAATCACTATAGATAAAATGGATTATGAGATAATGTACCTATAATTCACAAGAAGAGAAGAAAATGAAAATAGAGAAACCAAAAACTAGAGAACAAACAGAAAACAAAAAAAAATCAGGCTTAAACCTTGACATAGCAATAATTACATTAGACAATAGAAGCCTTTACATATCAATAATTACATTAGACAAGAGAAATTGTCTAAATAAACAAATTGAAAGAGATTGACAATAAATTAAAAAATGACAAACTCACTTCAAATGTAACTGTATAGGCAAGTTGAAACTAAAAAGATGGAGAAATATATCATGCAAATATTAATAGAAAGAAAGCAGAAATGGTGCCAAGATAATTTAATAGAGAAAGATTAGTCTCTTCTACAAATGGTGCAAGGCTAAGAGGATATCTACGTGCAAAGGAACTAAGTTAGAACCCTACCTTAAACCATAGACAAAAATTAATACAAAATGGATCAAAGATCCAAATGTAAAACCTAAATCTAGAAAGCTCTTAGAAGAAAACACAGGAGTAAATCTTCATGACCTTGGATTAGGGAATTGTTTCTAATATATGGCACCAAAAGTACAAGCAACAAAAAATTAGATAAAATCTGATGTCATTAACATTTTAAAACTTTTTTGCTTCCAAGGACACCATCAAGAAAGTGAAAAGACAACCCATCAATGGAGAGAAAATATTTGCAAACCATATATTCGATAAGGAACTAGTATGTAAATATATTAATAACTAATTGATAATAAAAAAAAATGGCTGGGCACGGTGGCTCAAGCCTGTAATCCCAGCACTTTGGGAGGCCAAGGCGGGTGGATCACGAGGTCAAGATATTGAGACCATCCTGGTCAGCGTGGTGAAACCCCGTCTCTACTAAGAATACAAAAAATTAGCTGGGCATGGTGGCACGTGCCTGTAGTCCCAGCTACTCGGGAGGCTGAGGCAGGAGAATTGCCTGAACCCAGGAGGCGGAGGTTGCGGTGAGCCGAGATTGCGCCATTGCACTCTAGCCTGGGTAACAAGAGCGAAACTCCGCCTCAAAAAAAAAAAAAAGATGACCAAATTTAAAAATGGACAAATACTTGACTAGATATTTCTCCAAAGCAGATATACAAATGGCCAATAAGCACATAAAAAATTGCCTAACATCATTAGCCATTAGGGTTATGGAAACCAAAATCACAATATCCATTCACATCCACTAGGAGGTTGTAATAAAAAAGATAGAAAATGACAAGTGTTGGTGAGAATATGGAGACATTGGAACCCTATGCATTGTGAATGGGAATGGAAAATGGTACACCATTTTAGAAGACAGTTTGGCTGTTCATTAAAAAGTTAGAGTTACCATAAGATCCAACAATTCCACTCCTAAATATAATCCCCAAGAGAAAGTAAAACATATCCACACAAAAGCTTTTATATAAGTGTTCACTACAGCATTATTTATAATATCTTAAAGTGCGAAACAACCCAAATTTCTATCAGCTGATGAATGGACAAACAAAATGTAGTATATTTATGCAATGGAATATTATTCAGGTGAATTTTATAGTAGGTGAATTATATCTCATTTTAAAATTTTGAGGCAGATGTGGCTTCTTTAATATCAGATAAAATAGACACCATTGTTCATAGCTTTATTTGTAGTAGCCAAAAACAGGAAAAAATCAAAATATCTCAATATATGAATGGTTAAACTGTGATACATTTCTACCATGAAATACTATTCAGCACTAAAAAGGACTCCACTATTGATACATGCATAGATTTCAAGGACATTAAACTGACTGAAAAAAATACAATCTCAAAAGGTCATGGGCTATGTGATTTCCTCTTATAACATTCTCAAAATTATAGAGATGGAAAACAAATTAGTGGTTTTCAGGGATTGGGGTGGGGGGATGAGGGGACTAAGTGTGATTCTAAAGGGATAGCATGAGGAAGATCTTTGGGGTAACAGAATAGTTCTATATTCTGATTGTGGTTGTGGTCATATAAATCTATATGTAATAAAATGGCATAGAAGTATACACATATCTTGATCCAATTTGTTTTATGGATTTGGTGTATTGTAGTTCAATAAGATGTAAATATTGGGGGAAATTGGGTGAAGAGAACCTGGGACCTCTGTAATAACTTTGCAACTTCCTGTGAACCTCTAATTATTTTAAAATAAAATATATAAATAAGAAACATTTGAAAATGGATATGTGAGTATAGAAACTTCCTCACAAATGTTCATAAACTATGCTACTTTGAATCTATTATTTGAAGGTAGAACAGGAAATGGAAAAAAAATGCAGTTATAAAAAGAATTATCAGTAAGAAAAATATTAAATCAATTTTTATATTAAAATTTATTTAAACATATCCACATGAATAAGTGATTTATGTTACTTGTGTCTTTAAAATTAATATATATTCTGTTTTCTTAAATAAGGTATAAGCTACTTATTTTGTAGATTGAGTTACTGGAATTAAAATTGTCAATACAAGATGGCACTAAGTAAAAGTAAGAAAAAAACTTGTTTTTTAAAAAAATTGTGAGCTTTGCTGCATATGATTAAAACAAAACTGAACAAGCCATTTATCAAGCGAATCATTGTTTAACTGTGCAGTTAATGAAGTCTTGACTTTACATGAAAGCTGAAGTGTGTTCAGTTTCAATAATTTAGTTTTAATAACTGGTTCTGTCTTCATTAATTGAAACATTTAAGCTTTGCTGCACTTTCTAATCATGACTTAAATTTTCCAAGAGGTACATGAGAAAAGAAATATAGTGAAATCAGGTTAGGAATAATTGATATAGTAAAATGTTAGCATTTTCTGTTATTTACAGTTTTCCAAACTAACAAATAGCTTTGAAAACCTGAGATTACATCAGATGAAACAAAACAAAGTTCGACGAAAAGAATTACCACACCTTAAAGAAGAAATACCCTTTGAACTGAGCAATTTGAACCAGAAATTAGAGGTGAGATATATTATTTTAGTTTCTTTAGGTGTATAAATATTGATTCCTGTTGTCATGGGCTGTTTGTCTCTAGTGTCCACAGTGGTGTCTACAGTTGTGGCAATAAACACTGTTACAGACTAACTTCTCGTTGAATGTATTTTCTTAGTGCACCTTCCCTTCAGGCACTTAGTGAATTAAAACATCACTTTGATGTACACATCTTTTCTATATATCCGCAGTTTGAAGAGCACAAAAAATAGCCAAAAAAGGGAAAAGAAACTGCAGCTGTTGAGTAAAATTGAAGGACACCCCTGGGGTCAGTTAAGGTGAATATCTAATAAATCTTTTAATGGCCATTTAGCTATTAGGTACTTAAATCCCAATGGAGCCTCATCACAGCTTTTAAAACAGGGCTTCAAGTTTCATGGGGTTTTTTTTCTTTAAATTTGGTTAAAGAACCAATTCAGTTGCCCCATAGCACTTGGAATTTCTGAAGTTTTGGTCTCTAAAAAAATTCACTGTGTCCTTATAACTATATACATCTACTATGTACCCATGAAAATTAAAAACAAAAACCTTTAAAAATTCACTATGTCATACATGCACTTATTCTTATCCTTTTCGTTTTCCAACCTTGGAAAAAACAAACCAGCTATTTTTCTTTCCTGTGCTCTTGAGCATTCCTTCTACAAGTCATGGAACAGCAGAAAGATTCCACTATAAGTTTTCCTATCATCTACTTTTACCTGGATCCCCAGAACTGCTCAATTATTATTTTTTAATTGATTCCAAGTTGACCCTCATGTTGTCCTACTTAATTTCTTTCATTTTTCTCAAACCCTAAACCCCAGCATCCCTCCCCTCCCAGCACTTCTTCATCTTATTCTTTAATTAACAAGTCCTTCTACTTTAAAATATCTTAAAGAACAGGAAAAAATTAAGTCCAAAATCACAGCCCTAAAATCAGCTTATTATAAGAATGTTGTAGGAAGTCCTAGATTTTAGTCTTTAAAACTCCAGCACATTTTACATGCTTCTGAACAATGAAGTCTTTAGTTTTAAAAAATACAAACATCATCACTGAGTAAGTTGACCCTCTAGGAAAGTGCATTGTGTTGTTCTCCCAGGCTCTTGCAGTGATACAACCAGAAGGGCTTCAGAAATGTCCTGGTCTCATAGAAGATGCCCATAGATGTGCACTGTAATATACATGTGCTTTCACTGAAATGAAGAGATTGAGTCACTAATTATCCATTTGACTGACTTTTCATGGGCTTTTGTGGGAGAACTACATTAGTAAAAATTGTTCAGACAAAAAAAAAAGCCTTAAGTTAGTATCAAGTACTTTGTGTATGCATGTTTTACATTTAGGGAACTAAATATTATATATATATATATATATAATGAAATCATAGTAGAAATTACAGCAAAATGTTTTTATATGTTTGTACTTATTTAAAATATTTTAAGCATTCTATGCAGATATACAGTTTAACTTGAAATAATTATAAAAACACTTCATGTACCTGTTCTTACTTATAGCTATCTGAAAAATTAATGTGTAAGAGATAGACTCTTCCAGTTTTAGTCTGCATGTAAACCTGTTTTTTCTTTGGGGCATTTATACACTGGTATTGTAATAGCAGTGTACCACATATAGTAGTAGAAGAACATGATCATTGGTAACTGAAAACAGGCCTTGCCTGATTCATGTGTTTGCCCTGTGATCTTTAGGCAAGTTGTTAGCCTCACTAAGATTCCATGTTGTCATCAGTAAATGGGGTTAAAAATATACATGACATTGTGGTTACGGTAAAAAAAATTCAGATGCACACTGAAGCATTTAGGGGTGAAAACATTTGAGGTCTGGAAGTCACCTTAAAATATACCAACGAAAAAGTGTGGAGAAGATAGGAGATGTAAAGATGGACAAAGTTGATGGTAAACTGGATGAAGGGCACATGGGGGTTTGTTTTACTCTCTACTTTATGTATGAACATCTTCATAATAAAAAGTTAGAACCGTTTTACAGGTGAAGGTCCCCAACATATAGTAATCAGTAAAGATCACCTCCAATATCTATTAGAGGACTTTTTAAAACATCTAATAATACAGCTATCAAGAGAAACTAATTTTAATGACCCTGATCCACTCTCAACCTTAAAGACCCAGAAAAACTTTTCCAGCCATGAAGAACTTACTGTGGAGGTCCAGGCAAGTCTACAGACCTTCTGAAGCCTAACGTGACAACTCCTGTCTCTATAAAAACCCTTATGAAGCTCTCTGGGTTCCTGCATGGTTCCATACTATTGCATATATTGTGCTGACTCGCTAGTCGTGAAATCAGTACATCTGATAAGATTAAGGAAGCCAGGATTGTCATAAGCACCTGTTGATAGGTTTGTGACACACATTTCTAGCTACTCTTGGCCTCATTTCTACTTGTTGTAGTATTTATAAGAAGTCAAGGTTAATGCTTCTGCCTCTAAAGCTTCCTGGGGAATATTTATTTTCAAGATTATTGCGGTTAATGGGTAAGAAATGGTAAATATTTATATTATCTAAAACATGTGAACAGCTTAAGTCAACCTTGCCCAAAATTTGACTTCTAACTCCAAAGATTCCTTTTTAAACTAAAAGTAAACAGAAATTTTTAAAATCTAGATTGCATTGATTTGAAATGTTAGCTATTTTCTACTAGAACCTAGTTTTATAAATTTACCATTATTGCTAAAGACCCTGTTTTCATGTACCTAATGTTTGTATTATTGTATGTAAGAATTGAAGTCAGTAACTTTAAATGGACTATTTCCATTTATCATAGTAAATACAGTCTGTTTATCATGAGCTACTATTATATATGGAAGGTCTTTCCATATTTCTTCAGCGTTAATACCATGACTCAATATCAGGTCACCCCCCTTTCATTACTGTAAAAACTTCCTGATACAGTCTTCCTTCACTAATTGTTTAGGGACTTGCAGATTTTAAAAACTAAAATTTCTTTAAATGTCCTTTAAAATTATTTTCGTATAGAAAATATGACATGCCATGTTCTTCTCATTTTAACAAAATAAAGCTTCCATTCTCTAAATAAGCATTTGTTTTCCAGCATTGCCAATCCAGTCACTTCACCATCTTCAAAATAATAGTAACCACTCTGGCTATAATGAACTGTTCCAATTTGATATATTATGGGAAATAGCTAAGATAATCATAATATCCTCTGTATGGCTTTTATGTGTCAGTATTATTATACTTAACATACTGACATACTGTAAAATTACTTGTTTGTGTGTACATTTCTCTACTTTACTATATATTCTTTGATTTTTTTCTTTCAAAACATTTTTTTAAATTACAAAATAGTTCCAGATTTTCTTCTTTCCACAGAACTTGGTGGGCATTAACTGCTCAATAAATATTACTGAATTGAGAATTGAAAACATCACTACATTCATGCCACGTTTCTATATGCAGTAATATGTAGTCATGGACTTAGTACCTATAGTTTGTTTCCAATTATGTTGTTTTCTTTGCAAAATTTTTGAGACTGTTTAAATTCTAGGACTGTACCATGCTTTCGTTTGTACATTCATGTAATATAAGTAGTACCAGGCATTTTGTCAGGCACTGAGAATGGTACAAAACTAATAAACAACCATTATCCTCAAGCTGTTTAAAGCCTGGACAAAAACATAGGATATAAATGGTCAGCCCTAGGCAAAATGGAGAAGCAGTGATGTCTTCTTTGGTATCCTCAGGGCTATATCCTTTGCTCATGTTATTAAGATGTGAACAGATAATCATGCTGTATTATCTGAGCAAAACTACACTACTTGAGGAAAAACTTGAAAAACTTATCCTGCTTTATCAACCTACTTCTACCATTTATTTCCAAGGTAGACCAATTGGTACTGCCTAGATGAGGCCTGGCCATGGCCACGAGGGGCAAAGTCTCTGTCTTAGTTAGTTCAGGCTGCTGTAACAGAATACCATAGACTGGCTGGCTTAAGCAACAGACATTTATTTCTCACAGTTCTGGAGGCTGGCAGTCCAAAATCATAGTGCCAGCATATTAATCCATTCTCACACCGCTATAATGAACTACCTGACACTGGGTAATTTATGAAGAAAAGTGATTTAATTGTCTCACAATTCCTCAGGCTGTACAGGAGCCTTGGCTGGGGAGGCCTTGGGAAACTTACAATCATGGTAGAAGGCAAAGGGGAAAAAAGGCATGTATTCACGTGGCCAGCAGGAGAGAGAGAGTGGTGGGGGCGGGGAAGAGAGAGAGAAAAAGGAGAAATGCTACACACTTTCAAACAACCAGATGTCATGAGAACTCTATCAAGAGACAGCACTAGGGGGATGGTGCTAAGCTATTAGAAACTAGGCCATGCACCGTGGCTCATGCCTGTAATCCCAGCACTGTGCAAGGCTGAGGCAGGAGGAACATGAGGTCAAAAGTTTGAGACTAGCCTGACCACCATGGTCAAACCCTGTCTCTACCAAAAATACAAGAAGTTAGCTGGGCATGGTGGTGCATGCCTATAATCCCAGCTACTCAGGAGGCTGAGGCAGGAGAATCACTTGAACCTGGGAGGCAGAAGTTAACAGTGAGCGGAGATCATGCCACTGCACTCCAGCTTGGGCAACAGAGCAAGACTCTGTCTCAGAAAAAAAAAGGAGGACTTCTGCCAAGATGGCCAAATAGGAACAGCCCAAGAGTATAGTTGCCAGTGTGAGCAACGCAGAAGGCGAGTGATCTTCGCATTTCCAACTGAGGTACCAGGTTCATCTCAATGGGACTGGTTGGACAGTGGGTGTAGCCCAAAGAGGGCAAACTGATGAAGGGTGGGACGCTGCCTCACATGGGAAGTGGAACAGGCCAGAGGAACCCCCTCCTATCCAATGGAGGCCATCAGGGACTTTTCCAGCCAATCCGGCATTCCAGTTCAGATACTGTGCTTCTCCCACAGTCTTAACAGTCCACAGACCAGGAGATTCCTGCCAGG